ATATATATATTTGTCATAGGTCTATAAGATCCATCTGTTTCTCCTACCCTAAGGAATGGCTAATGTCATCGCTTCCGTTCTCATGAGGACGTTTGCTGGTTTTGTAAATACGTGGGCAGCAGAGCTTCCCTTTTTGAATATCCAGTATAAGTAGAAACACTAGCTGTCTAGCACACCAACAAAAACGCTCGCTTTTTTATCTCTTTTTTTTGTGTTTTTCTTCAGAAGTACACTTTTTTCATTATTGCAGGTTTACGATTTTAAATTAAATAAGCTTTTTTCTTTTTTTTTTTGCTCTTTTTTTTTTATTTCCCCTTCTTCTCAGCCTTACAAATTCATTCTGGTCTTTTTTTTTTTTTTCCTTTTTTTTTTAAATTTTTTTTTTATTTTTTTCTCCAAAAGAAAAAAAAAAAAAGGTTTTTTTTGAAGTTTAGGCACAAATGCATTGTCCCACAGTGTGGAGAAGATTGCCGTTCAGTCTCTTAGGCTGTGCACGTACAGCTCGGAACATACTGCGTTAGACATTCTGCGTGATATGTTAAAGAGAGTCGTCCCTCAAGTTGCACTTCTTTATTTTTTTTTTCTTGTCTCTTGGTAGTTTGTTGGTTTTTTTTTTTCCTGCGTGGTTTTTTTTTTTTTCCCCTCTCAGTTTCATCAACCGGGAATGCTGAAAAAATTCTCTTGCGTCTGCGATTCTTTTAACTACTCAGACTTGTCTTATATTACAAAAAAAGGGGGGTTAAGGAGAAGTGTTTACGTGGGGGTTTAAGATAATACAGCTCTTAAGGAAGTGGTCTCTTGCTTTAAATGAAGAAATGTGGCAACTTGGACCTGTGGAAGAAGTGAAAAAAAAAAAAAATTTCATCAGTCGACCCCAAAATCCACGTCGGACCCCTGCAAAAAAAGAGAGAAAACCCCCCAAACTTGCCTTTTTTCTCGTGTTTCGGGTTGGTTTCGCCTCGTTTTTTTACATCTGTCCCATGTGATTGGAGGCGTCGCCCATGCCGGGGTGGGGTCCCGCCAGGGAAAGCGGAGGAGGATCCGAAGATACTTTCTCTTCTTCCCTTCTTTTCAGACACGCCGCTTTAGGGTTCAGGTTTCTTTCTGTTGCATGGAAGCCAAAAAAAAAAAAAAAGAATAAAAAGGCTGTTTCGTTAAAATAATCGCACGTTGAAATTCTGAGTTATTCTGGTTCTGTGCCGGGAATTTCATGGTGGGGATGGGAACAACCCAACGGACAAGCTTAGATGTTGGCTGGGACCTTGAGGATCATCTAGTCCAACCCTTTAAGGTAAAGAAAGAGTTTAAATGAGCTGAGCCTTAAAGGAGTTGAGCCTTGAAGGAGTTGAGCCTTGAAGGAGCTGAGCCTTAAAGGAGCTGAGCTTTAAAGGAGCTGAGCCTTAAATAAGCTGAGCCTTAGAATCACAGAATCATAGAATGGTCCAGGCTGGAAGGGACCTCAGAGATCATTTTAATCCAGCCTCCCTGTCGCCAGGGACGCCACCTCTCGACTAGATCAGGCACCACATGGGGACCGAACGGGAATGGAACCCGGGACCCTCCCGTTGTTAGCGCCACGCTCAACTGACTGAGCTAGCCAGCCCCCTAAAATAAGCTGAGCCTTAAAACTGCCTCAAGTTGAGCAACTCATCACTCCTTTCAGATTGTTCCAAGGTTTAACTGTTCTCACGGTGAAAAATTTCCCCCCGGAGTTCTTGCGTCCATCACCCCTCGTCTCCGCTACCACCTCGGGCTTTCCCAGCTTCGCCTTGAGCTCAGACTAACCTCGGACTTGCTGCTCTAAGCTGAGGATGACGGCGACAGCCTGGTGTAAGATCAGCAGCTTGGTCTGGGGCTTGTCGCTCTTGAGGTGGAGCTGCACCATCCGGCCCAACTCCTTGAAAGCCTCGTTGATGTCGCGGACGCGCAGGCGCTCCCGAGCGTTGTTGGCCATCCTCCTTTCTTTTTCCCTCTCGGCTTTCTGCTCCGGGGTCAGGTCTTCGTCATCGTTATTGCTGGGAGGGACAAAAGGAACACGTCATTTTCTAACGAGGCAAACCCAGACTTTTTTTTCTTCCCGGTGACGTGTTTTATCACTGCAACGTTTCAAACCGTGGTCACCCCTGCACCCCAAAAGACACGCGGGGTGGCTTCTGCGTCCTTTGGGCAACAAAACCTGCTTTTCACCCAGAGCAAAACAATGATTTTAAACGGGAAAAAGCATCTGACTGGTGAGTCAGCGGTGCTGTACGGTTTGAATGGGTTCTGCAAACGGAGTGGGACGTTTTCGGCAGCCTTCACGCCGTGGAACGAAATATCAAGAGTCACCTTTTAAAGCTGGAAGCACGTCCAAAGGCAAAAAAACCCATGTTAGCCTACAAAAGCTTCAAAGCACGTACAAAGGCGCATAAGCGACAGCGGATTCGTGGAGTTTAACAGCAACTACGAGCGCCTCGCATGGGCAGGAAGGGGCTTTCTCCTTCCCAGATCGTAAACGTGCGTGAAAGCCTCACCTCTATGTGTGGTTAATCCGACATTAATTGAGAGAAAATCTCAAGCGTCAGATATTTTCTCCTGCCGTAAGAGATGGGGACTTAACGAACATTTTGACCGGCGGCCCCAGTCTCGCGGGGGCTGCTCTGACACTTCTTACCTCGGCTCGATCCAATCCACCTGCAACTTGGCTAATACTCCCCCTGCTCCCCAAAATTCTTAGGTGAAACCCTCCGCTTAAACCTAATTGAGAGAAAATCTCAAGCGTCAGATATTTTCTCCTGCCGTAAGAGATGGGGACTTAACGAACATTTTGACCGGCGGCCCCAGTCTCGCGGGGGCTGCTCTGACACTTCTTACCTCGGCTCGATCCAATCCACCTGCAACTTGGCTAATACTCCCCCTGCTCCCCAAAATTCTTAGGTGAAACCCTCCGCTTAAACCCAGCGAGCCCCATGGGTTTCCAGCGAGAACAACAAATTTATTTCAGAGGTAAAAGCAAAGCACGGGGTCGGTTCATTCGGATGCGGGCGCCATCAGCTCTTAGGGCACGTTTTTGAGACGAGATGAAAAACCCGTCCTTGTATTCCAATTTGCGCGCAGAGAAACAGCCCAATTGGTCCGTTTGAGAGCAACGCGATAGATCGTGGAGGAATTTGCTCGCTGCCCAAATTTGCAAATTGTTCAGGTTGGAGTACGGGTACCAGACACCCTTCCCCTCACGCTGTGGTTTTACCTGCCAGGAAAAAACCTCAAAAGTTTCCTCCTGTTCTGTTCACTTCATCGAAATCCAGTAAAGGAATTAAATGAAGCGACACTATTATATACTGTTACCTAGATCTTGACCTAGTAATTGATTTGATATCCTTCTTGTCATCCTCTAGTTTCTTGTCCTCAGAAGACTTGGCGTCCTGGAGGTTTTCGTCGCCCTCGTCGTCGGATTTGATTTCGGAGCTCCCCGAAGACACGCTCTGCCCTTGCAGCCCGGTCGGCATGCCTGCGAGGGAACAACACACGCGTGGTCAGGCAGTGGAGACGCTGCTACTCGCGTCCTTCCAAAAAATATCCATCTTTAATACGTCATTCTCCCAACACAACTGAACCTGAGCGAGACCTCATAAAGCGTCGGAGCACCTGCGGCTTTTTCTTCCACGCTTTAAGCTCATCGAACCATTAAGGTTGGAAAAGATCTCTAAGATCAAGTCCAACCGTCAACGCGACACCACCATGGCCGCTAAATCATATCCGCGTTTCCATGGTTTTTTGGAAGATCAGCTGCCTCGAGGTGTTAAGGGCAAACCCTGATGTCCCCCCGCTTGGTAATCATAGAACCACCGAATAGTTTCAGCTGGAAGAGACCTTGAAGA